CATCACTTTATTTATGAAGCGATTTAAAAAAAACCCATCAGAAATAAAATGACAAATCTAAACGATTAAGAACTCAAAGCAGTAAAACAGAAAATAAAAGTTAAGTAAAATAAAGTCTCAGCTGACTTGAAGGTTGGTGAGTAGAATAAGTTTTTAGAGTTTTGTTTGATAATTACTGTTTTACTATTTTAACACTTGATGCACAAAGTAATTGGATAATAATTGGATCATCTGCGCCTTGATGATTTCCTGACTCCTTGTTTCCCGTTTTTATTTCCCCAGAAGGTGAAACAACTTTGCACCAGAACGGCAGCTGCTGTATGAATTCTTTCATCCTTCTCTTCTTGTTACATTCACACCTCTGTGTGTGGCTCTAAAAGGCCTGCCTGTTGTTTTTTTTGGTGATTTGCATTTTAGCAGACTCCAGCAGCCCACAAGCTGCCTGCCAAAGTGTGCAGAGAAAGAGGCTTTCATTTCCAAATCCGGCAGTTAAAAGGGCTTAACTGCAGAAGGAGCTCTTAGAAACCGCTGACAATCACAATGGCTCATTCATTTGCATATAATGGTAAAGTAACCATGCATACAGCAACAAGGTTGACTTCAATCACATTCATGGCCTGCTGTATTTTCTTATTTTCCCCCAAACACAGGCTGAGACTTCAAAATTCCTGACAGGGGAATTTTGAATCTTCACATTTTCAGGGATTTTGTTGCGCCTGTAATGCCTCGCAGAACTATTTATAACCTTTCAGGTTTTCCCCATTTCATGTTGAAATTACAAAAATCAATGGGATCATTGGGGTTGCAATGGAAGATGATTAGGGCCAATAAAATAAAAAGTGCCTTATTTTGTCTGAATTTTGACTTTAATCTTCAAAATTTTGACTTATTTCTTTGGGATTTTGACTTTAATCTTTTTGAAATTTGCTCTTTGTTCTTCAGAATTTTTTTTTTTTCCCCTCTGGAATTCTGACTTTAATCTTCAGAATTCTGACTTTTTGATCTCAAAAGTCATAATTCAAAAGTCAGATGTGACTTTTGAATTCAAAAGATCAAAAGTCGGAATTCTGTTTTGTATATTTTATGTGGCAAATAGTATTGAAAAACCTAAACGTAATTAATATAAAAATCAATATTTATAAAAAAACATATATAGTTTTGAACTTGTTCAAAACATTTTCTAATTTATGTTAGTCAGCAGTGCTAGAAAAATTACTTGCATTTCCTGAAAAAGATTGATTGAATTGATGTTTACCAAATGCACTCCAGCTGGATGGATGCCCGTCGAGGTCACCTTTAATTCAAAGCTCAGGTCGTTGTGAGTAGACCCATACATTTACCCTGACCTCAGTGTGTCAGATGATTTTGCAACAGATGTTACTTATCCTTCACTCGGCATCAGTTGTGTGGCATATAAGAATGTTTTTTCTTTTAGTATATAAATCAGTGGCGCCGTTTATAAATTGTTTTACTACACATTCTTTATTCTACACAGTTCCTCTGTGATGAGATTATTGCTGTCACTAGTTCAGCGAGGACTGTGTCGGGTTCTGTGATCCATAAATAGATTTTAAAATGTTGGAGAGAGTCACAATATTATCAGTAAATATTATAGTTATGAGCTGAGCTTTTGGTTTCTGCACTGTTTTTCAGGGAAGGTTGCAGACTAAAATAACTACCAATTAACCAGCAGCTTCTCCAACACAATGCTGCACATCTATTATAACTGTAACTATAAAGCTTTGGAGATAATAAAGATAGAGGAGTCTCTGCAGTGTGATGCCCTGCAGCGTAGACAGCTGTTATTGTCTTATGTCTCTTCTCTGTGCACAGTGATAATGATGAACTAAATCAGGATAGTATTTGGTGCTATTTTTTAAAACCTAAACTTTTAAAAGACTTAATCACATTCTTTTTGGTCTCCATGTAGATATGATGATTAATATAAAATGATTAATAAACAAAAAGGAGGAATGAAAAGGATTAGTTTCTTGATGGAACAAATAATATTGTTTTCACTTTGAAAACTGCAGAATATCAAGCAAGCGCGATGAAAAATCAAAGTAGAGGAAGAGCAGAAAAACACCTCAGATTTGTTAGAGAACTGGGTAAAATCAAGGTGTATAAATACAGTCTTTCATCTTTGTTGGATGAAAGAGAGGTTTGTGATTACTGGTAGGAAACAGCTGAGAGGGGACCCAAAAACTGAGGCAATGAGCAGCACAGAAATGCATAAAAATCAAGGTTTTACTGGCATACAGTTCACCCAGATGGTGGATGTGATTGGTGAATGAACAAAGAAAAGAAACGTTTTTCCTTTTGGATTTTAAACATAGAAATAATCTGTTTGGACCAACACGCACCTCTGGGAAAAACTAAGAGCTCACTGCACTGAACCTCATTATAAACCTGGTTATTCCACCAAGTATTGATTTCTGAACTCTTCCTGAGTTAAAACATTAGTATTGTTGCTTCTAAATGAATATGAACGTGTTTTTTTTGCATTATTTTAGGTCTGAAAGGGCTTGATTTTTTTTTTTTCATTCCTCCTTTTCTGCAAATAAATACAAAATTTTTGCTTGGAGTTTCAGAGACATGTTGTCCGCTGTTCATAGAATAAAAGAACAAAGTTCATTTTACTCAAACATAAACCTATAAAGAGTAAACTGAGAGAAACTGGTCATTTTAAGTGGTCTCTCAGAGCTGCATTTGATGTGTATTTGCTGTCTGTTACTGGTTTTCACATTTGTTGACTATGACCTGTTTAATATATTTTCATGATGCACATTTCTGGACTTTGTTGCAGAAATGTGCTACACAAATAAACTCGATTGATTCATTTTAGATGAATGTGATGACCTGAAGGTTAAAGTCTAAACAGTTTGTGTCCAGGGTGTGTGGGGTCTGCAGACTGCTCATTTCCAGACCTTAGACCTGAACAAGCCCTTATGTTTCTCTCAGCAGACCTAATTGTTCGTTGTCATGTTTTATGAGCCAAACTACATGTTTTGTAGGGACATTTACCAAAAAATAGATTGATTTTTACAGCTCAATTAGAAAATTAGCTTGCAGGAAGACAACATTTTTCCTTCCAAACCAGACAGAAGATCAGCACAGTAAAGCAGCTTAAAGATCTAATAGAGATGAACACTCATTACTGAATGGGGCTTCAGTTGAGCCAAGAAAAGACCATTAAAGAAAGCATAAACTCAGCTTTCTCTTGAAAGCATTTATGAGAGGAACCTAGTGGGTCTTTTCATCACTCAATCTAATTGGATTCTTTAAATCTGTATCTTATAGAGGAGAAACCTGATCAATACTATCGATTTTTTTTTTTTTTTTTTTTGTGTGTGAAGTGAGTGCAGGTGGACAATGTGGTGGATATAAAAGCTAAAAAGTGCAATAAACATGATAGGGAGGTTGTAATATTGTTAATATCTTGACATGTTTGTCTAAATTTCTTCACAGCCGCCACATGAAAATCATTACGATAACTTAATCTGTGTGGTTTAATGCGGTGACTACAGCCAGATAATGAGTTCATCGCAAACTGGAGAGCTGCTCTTCACTGTCAGAAACCCATTACATCCTTGTCCTCATCCGTCAGCCTTCCCCCTTAATGTACGACTCCACTGCAGTTTTATTTCCATATACCGCCCTCCCATAATTTCCGAATCTCTAATTGTTCAGCGAAATGGAGGCAAACGGCAGCAAAGACGAACAAAACGTTTGCCTGCATACAGTGAAGGTGTGGGGCGCTCAATAGCATTAATTCAATGTGAATTTTAAGAAGTATTGACATAGGTGGTTTCAAAAGAGGCTGTAAATCTGCAGCCCAAGGAAAAGTGGAGGAGAAAGATAACAAAATATCAGAAGTTATCTTGACTTTGAAGGGACAGTCAAAGCGTTCAGCGTCCAGAGAGTTTAAACCCTGAGTAGCCCTTCAAGCTGGGCACCTGCTTTCACATTAAACACCTGCCAATATTTTAAACAATAAAAACCTAAAGTAAAAAGGCTTGCACTGATAAATGCTTGTTGAATTTACTGGGAATCAGATGGGGAGCGTCGGTTCCTCCCCTGGTTTTTAGTTTTGGTTCGTGAATATCATAGTACGGTATCTGCAACCGGTTTTCAACCCTTCCCGACCAAACGTGTTGCCAGCGACGCAGCCAGACTTGCAGTACCGTAATCCCGCCACAGGTTACGCTATCTGAAAGATCCCAGCGGTTTCTTTAAAAAAATTCTGTTATGACTGAAACTTTTACTTGGTAAAAATTTGGTTTGGTTCCTCTTTCTCTGTGGAGAAATTAATGCAGAAGCATAAAATATTTTCACTAAGATTGGCTAATTTATCCCTTTTTTGAATCCAAACTCTAATACACTATCATTTGGTTGACTTTAAGGCCATTCGCAAACAAAAATACAGAAATTGTGTCATGTAATTTAGTCCTTTCAAATCTCCGCCTGGATAATTTTGCTTATTTCAATTGTACGAAGTTCTTTAAATGTCCTGTGAGTAAATATATTTGCCCATTTATAAATAGCAACTGGAACTTTCAATATGTAGCAAATTATTTCCGCAGTTTACTGTCTATTAAGAGTGGCCATCAGATTAATTTCACTCCCTGCTACGGCAAGAGTGAAATTACCGTAATAACCCGATATTGGCTGGAAAGCACGTCTCTCCTTTCAGAAACTGAATTTTTCAGAAAGCGCAACGTGTGGCGGGATTACGGCTGGATCCGTTTAGGCTTAGAGGGTTAAAATTGGCAGAAAATATAACGTATGGAGAAGTGAAAATTTGGGAAATGCCAAACAAAATCCTGGAAATCTTGAAATGCTGCTCACCGCTCATGTACCTTTTCCGATTCTGTGTGCTTGCTTTTTTCTAGCACGTATAGCTTTCGGATCATCGTTCTCTGAAACACTTGGATGTTTGCTCAATTTGAGCGATTCTTCTTTTTACAAAGCAGTCTTAAAACATTCCCTCTGTGTTCCAGCTGCAGCGACTGAAGCGCTCCTTGTCCCTCAAATCAGTCATACGCAGCAAGAGCGTGGATAACTTCTTCCAACAGAGCAACGGCGAATCTCGGCCAGCCTCAGCCATCATCACAGCGCCGCCACGTCCATCGTCTCCTCCCTTCTCTGAGTCCCCTCTGGGCTATGAGCGCTCTCCCTCTCTATCCCCATCAGTCAGCCCCAACCCTTCCTTGTCGTCACATTCCTCTTCCATCAGCCCTTCGCTGTCCCGGACCTTAAAGAGCCAGCTGAAGTCTCAGCCAATGCAACCGGTCAAAACTCACTGTTTCCAGGACCATGTCTTCCGTAGGCCTACCAGCTGCCAGCGATGCAAACATATGATCCAAGGTAGGTCAATTAGCAAGCTGCTCAGCAATTTATTATTGTATTGACTTAACCGGAAAGTGCTTTTCATCTGCTGTGTATTCAGGAAATTCCAAACAAGGGCTGCGTTGTAAAGCCTGCAAGCTGGCGGCTCATCTTTGGTGTTCCTCTGAACTATCTCAGCAGGCCTGTAATGGCAAGGTAAGAGACTCGGTGTAACCAGTGGAGGTTTCTGATATGGGCTACCACCCAGGGTGGCATGAGCTCCCCCGGCATCCGCAGGGCTCCCCTTCAGTGGATGTTAGAGAGTCATAATGTGATTTATAAACGATTTTTCACATTAAAAAGAGTCTGTTTCACTCCGCCGCTCTCGGTAGCGCACGCTTGTGAAAAAAATAACATGGATAACAAAACTTACAGCTTATTTGCTAAACATAATTCACAGCCATAAGTTAAAAATGTATCCATATGGGCGGAGCGTAGTCTCCTTTTGCACCTTATGGAGTCATGGTTTGCCCTGCTGCAGATACTACATGGCCAATAAAAGTAAGCTAAAGTAATTTTATTTATATAGCACATTTTCAGCAACAAGGCAATTCAAAGTGCTCACCTGTTGGCTATCTGCACATACTCACACCTAAGGAGAATTTAGGGAGACTAATTAACCTAACAGGCATGTTTTTGACTGGAGTACCCAGAAAGAAGCCACACATTCACAGGAAGAACATGCAAACTCCGTGCAGAAAGATTTCAGACTTCGTCTCCAATCCAGGTCTTTTTTCCTGCAGCTTAACAGTGCCAGCAGCTATGCCATTATGCAGCCATATGCCTAATATCTTCTAAATATACAGTACCATTAAGGTTTTCATAAATATTATGCTTGTAGCTTAAGTGTGACAGATTTTCCTGTGCTGTGAAAGGAAGCTTATTAGCTAAAAAATGCTTAATTGGCTATTTTGTACTGATTGTTTATGTGAAGTTCTCTGTTTTCTTTGCTCCTTTGCTTCACCCCAAACAAAAAAAAAAGTCACATAATTAATTAGATTTACTGTAATTGTTTCCAAAATGTACTGGGAATGTGGCTGTTCCTTGGAGAGAAGACACAAATTAAGAATGCTCTGTATCAGCAGAATTAAATGGCATCTGGATGCCTTAAGTGTCTCTGAGTCATTTGGCGCAGCCTTTTAGCCCTGGTAATATGCCCAGTCCCAAAATCCCTGGCTTGTAGAGAGAGAGAATAAAGTCCCCTTTTCACACCAGCAAAGACAAAAAGGTGGAGGTATAATTGGAACATGGGTTGACTGGAAATGTATGAAAGAGTAGCAGAGGAGCACATTTTTTTCCTCTTCTATATGCCATGCCTTATCAGAAGAAAAAAGGCTGAGTCTAGCAGTAGTAAAGTTCATCTGGTTACATCCCCATATTTTGTCTGTCTTACGACCTTTCTGCTTCTTTACCCTCTTTCTCTCACTTGTCTGGATGCAACATTTCCTCTAAACTTTGCTGGAAAATCAATATCTCTCTGTACCAGCTGGTCTGCCTAATTCAGTGTGAAATTTGCTGTGTTTGAGGCGAGCACTGTCCCCCAAGGATGTGCATGCTCTCACCAATCCAGTGTCCTTTTCGATCACTGCACACTCATCAAGGCAGAGATTAGCCGTTTTGTGAAATTAGGCGCGTAAGCCAGCATTTATGCATGTAAATTAAAGTTTTTCAATGAAAACATTACAGCTGAGGGAAATGGCTTAAAAATAAAATCTCCGATTTATTTTAATACCAAATCTGAGGTCTGGTTTTGATCTTTTTTTTTTTTTTCTAAACAAAGAAATTACAAATTACAGAAAATGTTTTATAAAAGTGGCTTTTTCCCCCCACTTTTATAAAATATAAAAGTAAGTTGCATGATGGGACGCTATGGCCAGGCTACAAGAATTTTTATTTAATTACAAGAATATTTTCATAGTTTTAGCAGAAAAAAATGCCTTATAATTATGAGCTAAAAGTTGTTTTAATCAGAAAAAATCTGCCTGATATTAATTTGATGCTAATGTGTTAAAAGATTAGGTATTCCTATTAGCTATTATCTGTAAAACTTATACCAGAGTATAAGTTTGTACGATGTTCAACATTCTTTGTTAATTTTTTCTCTCTCAAAAATGTCTCCTAATATTACAACTTTATTCTTGTCCACATTTTCCAAAAATTAAATCTTCAAAAACCAAAACTTTGATTGATAAAATAGAGTTATCATCAAGCTTGTTTATAATTTTGCGGAGAGTGCAATTAAGGCGATTGCTTCAGTTGCGCTTTATGTTTCAGATCTTGTTAAAATACACAACTAAGCATATGAAATTAAGAAACAAATTAATTGTTGTTATGCTGTGGATCTTCAAAGACCTTGAGGGAGCTACAACTAAGTTTGGCTGTTGGGAGCAGCGCCTTGGAGAAATGGACCGGCTTAGCATGACTGACCTTGAGTTTAAAGGCCATTTAAAAAAATAAGAAACACGTTCACCTCTTTTAGATGCTTCAGCTTTTCATAATTCAGTTAGCCCAACAAAATGTACAAACAAAAATTTGCCGAGTTGTGAAACGAACAATCAACAGCTGCTTTTGCCACCCACTACTTTTTATCTACTTTTCAATTTCAGACCTGCATTTACACGACTATAACTTTTATACCATAAATCTAACGTGAAGAATCCAACCTTGTTATCCACTTTAAATGCTAATATAGTCGTCGCTTTATCACAGTCATGAAACGTAACTGTGGCAAAGCAAAACCAGAGGTAGATACTTTCCCCAGTGCGTTATTTATAACTTCACCACCCTTTGGTCGTTTTCAGCTAATGTGCTGACCATACACTTTAAAATATCTCCGTAATCGGAGTCATTAATGACTCTACAATCCTGAAATCTGTTTTGTAATCAATGTTAAACGTTAAGATGTAAAATACTTTTAATGGGAAGCTGGGAATGCTGAGCACTGCACAAAAAATGCAGGAAAGCTTTGCACACACACATCCTCACTCTTTTCTGTTGTACTTCACTTTTTAGCTGTTAACATATAAGAACAGTGAAGGAAATGTATAAATGAAACTGAGTAACTGACTTTTGTTTGATTTCAAAAGGTCAAAAGGGATGAATCGATGCCTAAAACCTTCTGATTCAGCTTGAGTACGTTCCACCTACAGCCTGTCTGAAGGCTCAGATGGAGAAATGTCAACAGCAATTACTTGCTTTTCTCCTGTGGTAAAACAGAGGTAGTTGGGAGCAGGTGTGAGCTTTTTACAAATGTCCTCAATTACAACACTGGTGCAATAGTATGCAAGTTACTGAGCTCATGATCTTTTGTTGACATTGCAGGACGTAATGTGTTTTCCCAACGGCCAGGCTTGGATTTTAGTAAAAAAAAAAATAAAAATTAACAAAAGTATTACGATGTGCCGCCCTGCAGTGGGGCAACGCAGGTTGCTACAATAGATGGTAGCCACACAGGCACACCCATTAGAAGGAAACAAACGCACCCAGTGTAACACTTTCATTCTATTGGCTGAGAGGTTGCCAGGCGACAGTGCTTCTTCGCATGAGCAGAAAATTAAGTGAGCAGAGACGTTTGCAAGCGGAGCTCTGATCCGAACAGAGAAGGTTTGAGTGCGAGGAGAAAGGTTTGAGAAAGCACAGTGAATATTTGAAAGAGGGCAGAAGTTTTGAGTACAAGCTTTAAAAGTTTTGAGAACAAAAGACATGAAGTCCTGCTTTCAGACTGAAAATGTGTGCTCTCAAATTATGGCAGAAAAATTCCCCCATATGTTGCTTTCTGCGTTAATGTTGACACATTAAATATTGTAGTAATTTCTTACTGAACATCTCGTTATTGCGCCCTCTACTGCACATGTGGGTCACTTTCAGGTCGTTTGCAGTTCACACTGGAGACCACAAACAGGTCGCATATATTTGGAAGCATCATTTCGGACTGCAGTGTAAACTTAGTCATGCTGTGCAATTCTTAGATTTAGACTTTTGTTGGGGGTGTCTTGTGGTGTGTTCAAGTCCACTGTTTTCCTCAAACTGGTAATGTGAGGGTTAAGGCAGCATGATGTTGGACTGTTGCTAGTGAAGGTGCTCTGAGTTTCAGCATTTCGAATCTACTAAGGTTTTGTGTGCAGAACCCATTCTTGTCTTTTGTCTATTCTAAGTAACATCCTGTCTTCGCATCTCTTCTGGTCTTCTAATATTTCAGTCTGGAGCCTTTAAGAGAAACTTCAGCTCTCCTCTGCTAACCATTGATCCACTGAGTATAGTCCAGGAGGCTCCAGCTGCCCAAGGTGAGGGATGAAACCTCTGGATGATTTGTCACACCGACAAACAACTGCAGTGTCTCATCGTAATATTGTGTCTTTGTACAGAGACAGAGAATGTCATCGTTGACCCTGTGTATGAAGCACTGCGTTACGGGACGTCATTGGCTCAGATGAGTCGCTCCAGCTTTGGAAGTATCTCCGAATCCCCTTGTCATGAGGTATAAAATACACACCAGGTAGACCATTTAAGTTAAAGTTCATGTTAAATGGAAACGTTATTAACTTTGCTTTCTTTATCACAGTCCGATACACTGCAAGGTAAACTAGAAAACCAACCAATCGCTGAAGAGGAAATTATTCCTGGAAGTAAGTTGTTTCTTTTGCATTCATCTGCTAATTTTATGCCATTTTTTTATTATTATTTTTAGAAATGTAAGCACAAATAATTTCTTATTGGATCGGAGATGCATTACACTGCTTAAATTTCCAAATCCAGCATTTTCCATGACAAAACTGAGGTCAAAAGCTTTCCGGCTTTGTTGGAATATGTTCTTCCTACCGGGGATTTACTAAATGTATGGCTTCAGCTCAATTTGCTTCTTTACCAATATGATAAAATGCTGTAAAGATACAAAGTGTCATTCATTTGTGGCAGATGGTTCCTTTTCATATCACAAAAACTTGGGAATAAAACGGTTAAACGTTATAAAAGTGACACAGTACAGCAGCCTGAATAAAAAGCAGATATGCCTTAATAAAAAATGAAGAAAAAAAACACTACATCATATTTTCAGTTATTTATTGTTGATATATTTAAATTGGCCTCTGTCTCTTTAAGAAGCTCCTACTCTTTCCGACACTAATCACAACAACGTTTCTCCATGATGCTGTTTATAATTGTTCGTAGGAGCTTTGGACTGAGAAGTAGTTTGTATTATAAGTTCAGCAGACTCGCAGTCCACCAGGTGTTTGCTAATTGCTGCTGCCGCTAGTCTGGAGGAGCTGAGTGGTGGAGGAGCTTTGACTAAATGGGTGGTACAGTGTATGTTCTGGCATTAAGGGAACCCCGAATGGCTGCCGTGTGAGACTCAAGGATTTCTCAAACATAAAATACAAATATTTTAACACGAGCATCGGTGTTCAGAGTACAAAAAACCTCGAGGAATCCTTTTAAATTTCCAGTTCACCTCCAAAACAGACATTTGAGATCTGGAGTGGTACACGTGTCTGGTAAAGAGATACCACAAGCTAAATGTCAAAAAGTTGAAGGACTATGCTGCTATGATATCATTTACAGTGTAGACTTGAGGTTTTCTTTGTGTGTGTATCCAGTACTTTTCCCTTTTGCTCTTTAGTCCCAAGAGAAAAGATCATCTCTGTTTGTTCTGCCACCACTTTACAGTACCTGACCTTCACTTCTGCCTTGCTGTCTCGGTCACAAAGTGTCATCAGCTCTCTCTCTATCTCTCTCCTTTTACTTTGCACTTTTACTCTTTCCACTGTCTATTTCTTCCATGGGACCTTTCATATTGTCTACCGTCCCTTTCCTTTTTGTCTTTATGTGTCTGTCTCTCCAGTGCTCACCCCTCCTGAAAGCGAGAAGGCTGATTCAGAGGACAGGGTCAGCCTGAAGGTGTGTAGTCAGCATTCTCCTCTTCTTTCAGCTTATTTTTATTAGAACAAGCATTCTCTGCAAGTCTGTCTTCCTCTTTATTTCTTTCCTTTGGTTCTGCACTTGGACGAATTTGACGACTGTTTTTAATTTTGCGCGTTTGTTGTCGCCAGACTCCGAAGCGAGTCGAAGTTCACTCCATTCACACGTACATCGCCCTCTACAAGTTTCTGCCTCAGGAGAAGAATGACCTGGAACTACAGTTAGTAAGATTTCTTTGTGTACTGTATGCGTGATTTTGCATGAATTAGAGTGGCCAGGTGAGAAAGGACATTCATACACCATCTGCCTGCTCAGCAGGACGATTGCAGGGGGCTCAGACTGGGAGGGAGGAACGTGCTGGGAGGCTGCGAAGGACAAACAGCTGCACTGAGTGCATGTCAGAAAATAGTTTTCGTATCTTAGCAGGTACACCTAACTGCTGAGTGTGGTACCACACCTGCAACTAATCTAAACACTGCAAAAACACAAAATATTACCAAGTATTTCTGGACTAGTATCAAGTGCACACTTGGAATAAGACAAACTAACTTACAAGTAACTTTTCATGCACTTTTTCTAAGTAAATAAGTCCTTAATATTGATGAAAAAGTACTAGTTCCATTAGCAGATAAATGAACTTATAACATGGGAAAAATGTCTTGTTATAAGTGAAATAATCTGCCAATGGAACAAGAGCTTCTACATCTAGTTATAAAGCTTCTGTTTAGTTAGTTTTATCTTATTTCAAGTGTATTAAGATATTTGCTCTGGAAACTTGACCAAAAATACTTGGTAATATTTAATTGTTCACTGTTAGTGCAGTGAACAATTCAGGCTTGGGATTTCAGTGACTCTTAAAGCTGTTTGTGAAAGAATCAAGTCAGTAAGGAAACGTACAGCAGAGTTAGACATTTACTGATTGGGGAATTTTTAAAATATATTTATGGAGCTTGATACACAAATGTAATAACTTTGTGACAAAACGTGACCTCTGCACATTCAGGGGTCAGGTATTTGCTAATATTTTGTGGTACTATTATGATAGCAATAATAGTACCATGACCCATTCTAGACCGAATGTGTCAGCGACGACACATTTTTACAAGCCAAATTTCCAGCACCGTAATTCCGCCACACGTTGCGCTATCTGAAAAATTGCAACGGTTTCTGAAAGGGGAGACGTTGCACTTTCCAGCTAATATCGGGTTCTTACGGTAATTTTTCTCCGGCCGATGCAGGGACCATGTTTTTTTGTTTGTGTAATCTGATGAAACACTGTTTTAATAGATGATAAATTGCAAAAATAACTTGCTAGATATTGAAAGTTCCAATTGTTATGGATAAATGGGCAAATATATTTACTCACAGGACATTTACAGAACTTTGTACAATTAAAATAAGCTAAAATATCCATGCGGAGGTTTGAAACATAGGCCTCAGAGGGTTACAAAACTAATTATTACTTAGTTTTTTAGGTACCTGTATGGCTGAATCTGCAGGGCACATAATTCATATTACATATTATATTTGTCTGCAGGCCTGGCGACCGAATTCAAGTCACAGATGACTCGAACGAAGACTGGTGGAAGGTGGGCGGCACTCCACTGTAATTTTTATCCCCTGAATATTTCAAAAGCTCAAGTTTTTGCCCTTTCTGCTAAGAGCTTTACCACTATAAATATCCAGATTGCCACTGAATGGATAGTACGGTAACCCATGTTTAATGCATCGCCCTGCCTTGGGAAGCTGAAGGCAAATCTGTTTAGAGGCAATGATTGTGAAGCATAGCCTAGAAATCAAATTTTAAAATGTGCGTGGTTTAAATCATTTTCTAGATCAAATGGCTCCATATAATGTGAGCTATAATATTAAAATAAAAAATGACTAAGCACATGGATTTGAATGCAAATCAGTAACTCATTTTACAAATAAAAAAAACTGCTTTTAAAGTGAGAATAACTAGAAACTTTACAAAGAGAAATGTGTTTTTATCTAATGATGGCAACGATAATTTAGAGACAGAACCAAAATAATATCTTTCAGTTCAGGATACAGATGAGTTGCCTGTTTATGCAGCGAGTCACATAATCAAAACTGAAAGGATTAGGATTCTTATGGCTGTTAAACCCGAGGCCGTCAAGGTTTGGAGACTTCTTCAAATCATAAGCACAAAGATTATTCTGTACATTTAGAAATGTATTTATTTTAGAGAGGAAATAAGTCATGACATGTCTGACATGAAATCCACACTAAATATTTTTTACCAATGTAAGCAATTCACACATCTCTATTAAATAATGTAGATTGTTAAATATGTTAACTGCAGAGATGGACTGTGCCATTCTTTGCCTAACCTAAACCTGGCTTAACAGCAACATGCCGTTGAGCAGGGGTCCCCAAACTACGGCCCGCCTCCACATTTGGTCCTGCCCCCTCAACAATACCAGAGAGCATTCAGATTTTTTTTCATTTATTGTATTTTCCGGTTTATATGTGGATTTTTCTTCAACCACCAGGGGGCTCTTTAGCAGGAAGTGTGTACTGTAAACTGTGGGTGTTTTGTTTTGCATGGCGCATTGCTGCCATCTGTTGGACTTTTAGGGAACTGCTTGACTTTTATGTTATTTATCAGTACGGTTGTTTGCTAGCGGTAGAGCAGATGAACACGTGTCTGTTATGAACGCCGCATTCCAGGTCGAGTTCTTCGAAGCAATGCCTGTAAGTAGCAGCTTATACTTCAAAACGAGCCTTTATGTTAACGTATGAGAAATTAATATGTTAAAGTTACATTCCGTTTCACTCATGGGTTTTGCCCATGTGCTTTCTGGGTAAAAATCAATCAAGAAATGCAGCCCCCCCTCCCCCCCCCCCCGGGGAAGGGAAAAGTTATTTTGCCCTCACAGGAAAAAGTTTGGGGACCACTGCCGTTGAGCCTTCCAGATCAACAGTATTCAGTTATTCCAAGTGGACTGCGACCAACACTCAGAAAAAACAATGTATGTCAGAAGGAGCAGGACAATATATGTAAGTGAATGCAGATTGGTGTACAAACTGTGGACTGGTTAACAGCTGTCAGCCATCCTATCTGCCTCAGGAGTTTACTGCGGTGTTCGTCACCATTGTTTACATTCCGCTGGGTGCTAAAGGCAACGAAGCTTCGAAGGAGCTGTACGACACCGTTAGCTCAATACAGATGAAGCACCCAGAGGCGTTTTACATGAGCTGGGGGACTTTAACCACGTGAAACTGACGGACACTCTGCCCAGTTTTTACCGCCATGTCATCCTTCGTACACTCTGGACTGTGTGTACACACCAACATTCACGGTGCGTACAGAGCTCTTCCTCACTCTTGTCTAGGCCTCTCCGACCACATCTCTGGTGCCAGCATATTGTCCGCTGATGAGACGGATTAGACCAACAAATAAGACAGTCACTGTGTGGCCCAGAGCCTTTGTACTCCAGGGCTGTTTTCAGCCCCCAGATTGGTAGATCTTCTCAGAGGCAGCTACTTATGAGGGAGAGGTGGACCTGGAGGAATACACCTCCTCTGTTCTTGGCTTCATCTCCAACTGTGCTGATAATGTCACCACCACCAAGACAGAAACCTGCTACCCAAACCAGAAACCCTGGCTGAATGCTGAGGTAAGAGCTCTGCTGAAAGCCAGGGACGCTGCGTACAGGACAGGCGAGGCCTTGCCACCCCTGTTGCCACCCCAGCTAGCGACAATGAATTAAATAAAAAGTTATGGCAAATCGGACATTAAGCGCATACAACTCTTTTCCGACAACATTGAATGCAACACCATGTAACCTTACACCAACTGCTATGTAGCGGGAAGTGCGAGAGAAGGACAGAGCGAGAGGCAGCATTGATGGATATATACATGTATATTCAGTAGTGG